CTTGTTTTAGGTGTGATTTTTATGTAGTGTACTGCATGTTTGGTCTCCCCTCTCCCTCTCCCACACAATCCTCCCCAAAAGAGCTTGGGAGTTCTTTTAAGGAAAACTATATACTCAATAAAGGCTATATTAATGTGATTGAAGATGAAGGAAAAGTTATGGAAAAATGCAGGCCAAAATAAATTTGCTCTGCAGGAGGCTCAGGTGGAGGTGAGGGTGGTAGCAAAGTTTGCAAGTTGTGCTTTAACAGCAAAATATATATATATATTTTTAGTAAATTCCAAAGTCTCCTAGTGCAGCAGAGCCATTCTGCAGCCTGTAAAGCCTTTTGTTTGAGCAAGGAAATGCAGAGCTGCAAAATTCTCGTCTACTGACCTTGACATCTTTCTCTCACCCCTGCTTGCTATTACTGAAGGGAAGAGGCCAGAGAATACCCAGAACTGAGAAACAAAAAAGCTGCCATTCTCTCTCTCTCTCTCTCTCTCTCTCTCTCTCTCTCTCTCTCTCTCTCTCTCTCTCTCTCTCTCTCTCTCTCTCTCTCTCTCTTTTTCCAGACATCTGGTAACCTTACTCTCAGCAAACATCTGCAGAAAGATGTTTAGGCCACACTGACTATCATAAGAAGGATGGTAATCTTTTAGAACAGGAATGTGACTTTACTGGTTATTTCTTACAGCATGTGACCACATTAAAAAAAAATAGGCAAACGTTTCCTTAACTGAGATTAGTGGCAAGGAAGATCAAATACAACACATGTAATCCATTTCTTTTTAAATGGTGAAAAAAGATTTACCGTAAAAGTTTGCTAAAACTTGTTGCATTAAATTTGCCTACCACCATTGCATTCAAGTAGCATGCTTGAATAAATAAATATTTATTTATTCAATTTCTATCGCCACCCACCTCAGTGACTCTGGACAGATTACAATGCAATATATGAAATAGGTTGCTTGGTCAAATCTGTCACACACAGCAAAGGAGCAGCTGTCTTCATATTTAGCTATTTAAAATTTAGGCCATCAATGAACAGGGTTATAAGTGAACTGAAGGCAAATAGATACTAGGCAACCTTCCTGTGTCTAATATCCTCTGCAAATGTAGGTCTATAAATCTCATAATTTTCAAGGTGCATTAAATTGGGAGTGATTATACACACTTAAAAAGAAATCAGCTCTTTTGAAACATCTAAACCGAAATTAGGTCTATGTTGCTAGAGAAGTGATTTAATCCTCCCTCTGTTTCACTGAAATTGTAGGAGAAGGAGTGGCAGAGTTAAAAGAGCGATCAGCCTAAAATCCCTATATAGCCACAAACAAAATTCAACCTCCCTTGAATTAAATGGAACTTATCTAACATTAGGCATGCTCTGATCTTTAGTTCAGAAGATTCCTGTGGATAGGCAATAACAACAACCACCTAAGAGCTATGACACCTGGGGTTAAATAATACACCCAAATAATAAAAGCTGCATGGCCAGCAGTGTTCCCTTAATCTCCTGATCCAAACGCTTAGGGGACCAGCCAGAATTAGGAGACCTATAAAAGGTTAGCAGGGTCTGGCATTTGGATTTCAAGTGGTCCATCCTTCCAAGGTTGGTAAAATGAGGACCCAGATTGTTGGGGGCAATATGCAAATAATGCTGCTACATTGTAAACAGCCCAGAGTGTGCTATAAAGCACTTTGGGGTGGTATATAAGCCTAAATGCTATTGCTGTTGCTAACTTGTGGTTAAATCTGACCAATAGCTCCAGTTTAGGGATGAGGATGTTTTAATGGTAGTTAGTGATATTTCTGTTGATAACTCTATAGCAAAGGAAAATATAATGGTATTTTAGTATACATTTAGATTTATATTACAACTTTCCTTCAAATAGTTCAGAGTCATATACATAATACTTCCCTTCCCAATTTAATATTCACGATGATCATCCTGTGAAATAAACTGGGATAACAGGTAGGAACTGGCCTGAAGAAATCCAATGAGTTTCTATGGCTGAAGATAGCCTTATTCCTGGGTCTCCTGATTTTGTCCAACATCCTACACCAGGTCTTTTCAAGACTCGAGCCAGCTGGGTCAGAATGGAACAAATCGCACCAGTTAACTTGATGTGGGAACAACTTGGTGCCCCACAAACTCCTCGCCTCCCCAAACTGCTAGCAGCCAAGCACATACATGCACAACACACCGCATTCCAGGTTTGGGTACTTTTATCCACAGAGGAAGGAGAGGGCCTTCTCCTCAAGCGCAGGCATGATTGGCAATTTGCTAGCTCAGATGTGGATACAAATCTCCAAGCTTGGAATGTTTGTGTGTGTGTGTGTGTGTGTGTGTGTGTGTGTTTGTGTGTGTGTTTGTGTTTGTGTGTGTGTATAGCATGCTAAAGAGATGTTCTTTTCCCAATCTCAGACATAGTTAGTGTTTCCCTGTCCGGTGCCCCTATCTGGCAAAGCAGGAGATGGAGGACATTTGCAGGAAACCGTTTCCTCTGAGTCCAACTCCTATCTTGACAGATCTCTGGAGAGCAAGAGGAGGCTACAGGGGAGCAGAGGGTCCTGGGTCCTGCACAAGGGAGGCTGGGTCTTCTCAAAAGGAGAGTCTCATTTCCAATTGTGCATGGTAAGGATGCTGGTTTGTTGGGTCAGCCTTCCCTCACACAGCTCCCCTGCCACACCCTCCTCCTTTCCAGAGATCTGCAGGGGAGACAGAGATCTGGAGGGCAAGGTGCAGCCTTCATATTTGTCACTTCTACCTCTCTAAGCCCTTATTAAGGAACTCTTAACAGGAAGGGAATTGAAGACCCCAAAAGGTCTCATTCTTTCTAATCTACCTTCCCTTTGAGCCTTTAGTTCTCATTATTTTATTTATTATATATTTAAGAAGAAGATCAAAGGCCGCTGTAGCTCAGGATACTAACCTTAAAATCAGAACCCAGAAAAAATTAGTTAATCCACAATACCACCCTATGAAGAATGAAGATAATCTTTCAGCCCTAAGAGCATGCAGGTGTCCAGTCAGCAACTGGAAGTGCATATGTCCATGTACTTTCCTTCCCTGTCTCACAATTCAATCCATATATTCTTTAATTTTCATACACATCTTCTTCTAATAAGCTCCCTAAAAAACCCACAAGGTTTATTGTAATTAGCAAGAAAAATAAATCTAGCACTCCTGAATTCTTTCCCCAAGGGGGAAAGGAAAGTTCACAGCCTGCAGGTTGCTAGCAAAGTTGTCAAACAACGTAGATATTGCTGCCAAAGGCAAGAATAAATAACGAATCAATTTTGTAGCTCTCTTGTTACTATATACTCTTACCTCCAGAATGTGGCCTGGGACTGCACAAGGGGCTAGGCTAAAATCCGGTTGAGTAGTTTGCAACCAGCTATTCAGTACACCTTGCCAATGTGATTTTAATAATCCAGGAAGGGATAGGAAAACCCAAGGAAAACTTTGCAATAATAAACCATGGTGGACTAGGCTTGTTTTGCCCTATTTTGATTCTCATCCCCAGCAGCAGCCCATCAATTTCAGAACTGCATGGCCACAAAGATAGAGACCTTCAGCCTCCCAACCCCTGCTTAGAGGAGGATTTACATTTCGGTAAGGGTCAGGCCATACGCCCTCAATCAAAGGAAAACCCCGAATCCAGTGGGCCAGAAGGCAGCCCAGCCACCACACACCTCCGGTTCCTTCTCCTTGCCCCCTGGGCACAGACACAGTCGCTGCTCCTCACCATAGCTGGGGCGGGACTTGCAAGTACTCCATCCTGCAAAATGGTGCTCCCCTAGTGCTCCCAGCCACCACCATGCTGGCAGCCCTGACTAAAGGCTGTGCACCCCAGCCTCGCCCTGCCAAGGAAGGAGGCAGCAGCCGAGACTATAGCAGATCTGCAGCTGGTCAGTGGTGCTCAAAGGCTGTCCAACTTTACTCTGGAATTTCGGGCTTGGAAAACAGAGGGGCAGCACTGTGTTGGCAGGCCTGGCAGCACCTGCTGCAAAGCCTCTCCCCCTGCAGCTACTTCCTTCAGAGTCTTCCTGGTGAGCTGCACTTTGCAGGATGAAGCTGGGAGATCTATGCTGGCAGGCCAATCGGAATCAGGATGGCTCTGAAAGAGGTAGCTGTGGGGGGGAGGGAAGTAGGAGGTTTTTCAGCAGGTGCCAGGCCTGCAAACGCATTGCTACCCCTACGCTTTCCAACCCCCAAATTCCAGAGTAAAGTTGGGCAGCCTTTGAGTGCCACTGACAAGCTGCAGATCTGCTGTAGTCTCGGCTACCGCCTCCTTCCTTGGTAGGGTGAGGCTGGAGCATGCAGCCTTAGTCGGGGCTGCCGGCATTGTAGTGGGTGGGAGTGCCAGGGAGCACTGCTTTGTAGGACGGAGGTACTTGCAAGTCCCACCCCAGCTATGGCGAGGAGCAGCGACTGCATCTGTGCCCAGGGGTGAGGAGAAGGAACCAGAGGGGTGTGGTGGTTGGGCTGCCTTCTGGCCCGCTGGATTCAGGGTTTTCCTTTGATTGTGGGCTGGGGTGGGCTAGCCCTTCGCTGTCTCCAGGGTGGACCCGGGCCAAATGTAAACACCCAGTGGGTATGTCTATCTCCTCCTCCTCCTCCTTTTATCTTTGGTGTAGCTGCAACTGACTCCTTTCCCCAGGCTGCACGCAGCTTCCAGAAGCACCAATCAGCTGGAGCCTGGCGCAGATCCTAAGCACTCAACAGAGCCCCAGCAACACCGTGGCTCCAGCTGGCTCTCCCACAAGCCTGTGCTGCATTGCCGCCACTTCAATCCATCCCCACGCTACACTTTTTTCACACTTTTTTTACAGTGCTTTTCAACCCATCATGAGTGTACCCCTGCCAAGTGCTGACATACCACCAGTGGCATGCATACCACTGATTGAAAAGCCCTGCCCTGCACTACTACATGGGCCTTTATCATTCAAGCTTGGGAATGGTGAAATCCAGTGGGCTTAGCTTATAGCATCTTACAATAATCCACAATACTGACCTGATAAGGGGTTGCTTCATCTTCTGTAGCAAGCAGTATGAAGAGTATAGGGAGGGCAAAAGAAAAAGAGAATATTATGAGTTTTAAAAAAAGAAATGTAAAGCACACTTTTCTTTGACACCACAGGTCCAAAAGATAAAAATGATGGCTCTTGACTGTTATACAGATAGTCCTTGACTTACAACCACAGCTGGAACCAGAATTTCCATTGCTAAGCAAAGCGGATGTTAAGTGAGTCATGCCTGATTTTACAACCTTTTCTGCCACAATTAAGTGAATCACTGCACTTATTAAGTGAAACATATGACCGTTGAGTGAAGCTGACTTCCCCCATTGATTTTATTTGTCAGAAGCTGGCTGGGAAGCCAGCTACAACCATCATAAATACAGTTTCAAATTTTGATTACAGGATGGTGGGGATGTTGCAACAGTAATAACTGCAAGGACCAGCTATAAGCCACTTTCAGTGCTACTGTAACTTTGAATGTTCGCTAAACAAATAGTTTACCAAACTTGGTGTACCAAGCTTGTACTGGTGTTATAGCTTTCCATAGCTAAGCAACTGGGCTGATGGTTTCTTCAAATGTAACTATTTCAAGGCAACACCACATGCCAATTATTTGAGTGAACGCCTCCGCATTGGCAGTTACTTTTGGCAATATTTATATATGTATAAACTTTGTATATATACAGAGAGAGAGAGAGAGAGAGAGAGAGAGAGAGAGAGAGAGAGAGAGAGAGAGAGAGAGAGAGAGAGAGAGAGGACATTCATAGCCAGGAGTAGAATTGTCTCAGCTGCACCATGAGGAGCTAATTACACTTGTGACTTGTGGTTACTGCAAATAATTTTCCTCCCTCCTTTAGATTCAACTACTTAGGTAGGCTAAACGTTAACTTCTATTTAATTATCACTTGGTTAAATCCATTCGTTGCAGCATGGAAGCAGCTACCTGTGTTTAGCTATTAAGACCGTGATCCATTAAGGAACTAAACCAAAAATGGACTAAAACCAGTATCCAACTAAATAAATAAGTAATACAATAATCTCTCTCTCTCCCTTCCCCCCCCCCTCAGATACACCCAACGAGGGCTTTAAGGATTATTATTATTTTTTTTGCATTTCTATAACTGATAAATGGCATTTGTGATCAAAGAACTCTCTTTGGGGGTGGAGGGTTGTGTAGCCGTGAAGCTGTAGGTTGCCAATCTCTTCACAAGAAAGAAAAGCACTGTATCACCCACACAGTGAAAAGTCAAACTTTTAACACCCAACTCTTAAATATGAAACATAGTCAACTGCAAGGAAATTCAACTGAAATTAAAAAATAAACTGTTTATTCACTCCTGTGTCTGTATAAACCTCTTAGTCAAATAAACTTTGCTGGAAAAAGCATTAAGGAATGCTCCCTGGGAGGAAGCAGGCTATGGAATAGGTAAGGCCTGTTCTGAACACCATGCCTTTCCATGGGTAACAGCAGGGCTATTGTTCAGAGAAAGGCTGCAGAAGATACCCTTCCTGGTTCCTGGAGCTAAACTTTCAGAACAAACAAGAAAGAAAGAAAATAAAAACCTCCAGGGATAAGCTTTACTGAAAAAAGAATATGTATTTTGCTAGGAGGAGGAGAAGTTGTTTTACTGAGTAGGACGAGAACAAATGCTTGCCTGTGTAGATATCTCTCTCTCTCTCTCTCTCTCTCTCTCTCTCTCTCTCTCTCTCTCTCTCTCTCTCTCATTTTTCTTTTTTCAAATATAGAAATGCTTTATTTCTGAATTGGTATCTCTTTGGCTCAAGTTTGGCAGCAGAAACACATTCAAAAGTAAGTCCCATTGACTCCCAAGGGGCTTACTAGTAGGAGTTACTAGAGTCATACTGAGCTAGGCCAAAGTCATGGCTGGTTTTGCATAACACATTTGCATAACAATATGAACCTGAAATTCTTCTTGCTTGTCATGCTAAGCAATAAAACTGATGAAGGGATAAACAAACACTTAAACAAATATAAAATCATGCACGCAGGCACAAAAGGTTCTCAGCCGGCAGTGAATAATCAGGAAGGGAGTCTTGGAGGAATGGCAGACAACAAAATGAAAATGTCACTTGTGTGTGAATGTTAAAATAAAGAGGGACAAATCCCATACTTGGGATGTTTAGAAAGGGAGTTTAAATAGAGGGGCTAAACTCCTTGTGCAAAACTTTGATCTGCCCTCAACTTATGACTACAACTGGGGCCAGAATTTCCATTGCGAAGCAAGGTGGTATCATTAAATGAGCTAAGCTCCAGATTTAGCAGCTTATTTTGCCGCCATTTTAAAGCAAATCACTGGACTTGTTAAAACTTAACATGGTCCTTAAACAAGTCCAGCTTTCCCAGCTGACTTTGCTTGATGGAAGCCAGCTAGGAAAATCACAAGTGGCAATCACACGACCCCAGGATGCTGCAACTATTGTATTTATATGGTGGTTACCAATGCCTGAATTTTGATCATGTGATGTGAGGATGCTGCAATTGTTATGAGGACCAGTGATAAGTCATTTTTTTCAGTGCCTTTGCAATTTCGGTCATTAAGCAAATAGTTATAAGACAAGAACTACCTGTAGAAGATTTTAGACCTGCAGGTGCAAAAAAGGGCAGTCAAAATGATTATGGGACTGGAGCAACTCTCCTATATTGAAAGATTACAGCAATGATTACAGCCTAGGAAAAAAGGATAACTGGAGACATGAGAGAACTATATAAAATTATGTAGGCCACAAATAATGTGAAAAGAAAAGTACTTCTGTACAATCAGTTTGGAACTCAAGGTCTATCACCCCCACTAAATATTGGGAGATTCAGGATCAAGAAAAGGAAATGCATATTTATATTGTATATAGTAAAGCTATGGAATAGCTGCTAGTAGCTTTGATAATGGCAACCAATCTGGGTGTTTTTTAAACAGGAAATAAATGTTTTTGTGGACTCTCAGGCTATCAATGACTAGCAGTAGATGTTCAAAGTAGCTATTTTGGAGCAAGGAAACTTCACCAAGATAATTGAGCAAGAAACTGCTGAACTCACATATATCAAAGGATTTGAAGCCATCTCAGAAGATTTTAAGAAATACAATGGACTGGTAACATTTTATAATTGACACTTGATAATGTATTTATAATATGTCACATATGTAACCTGCATATATATAACCACTTGCCTTCCCCCTTTTATTGCTTCCCAACTCATCCCAATTTAAATCCTATATCAGTTTAGCCCCTCAATGGATCTGATTAAGTGAGCTGTGGTTCAGAAAAGCTTTTCCTTTTTCATAAAATGTATAAGTCTGGAAAGTTGTTATCAGATTCCTTCTAATTAATGGCCACTAGCAGGAATACTGATGGCTATTTACAACATCCTGAATTATAGTTAGCATGCCAGAAACATTGATTGCTGCAAAGCAACATTAGGAGAACCATTCCAAAATGAATCCAGTAGGCAATTATAATATTTGACATAAAGTCCTGGACAAGGGGACCTATAGCCTAATCCAAGGGGGGCTCTTCTTATGCGCATGCTGGCTCTTCTATGGCCTGTTAACCAAGTTAGCACATTGCACAAATGCAGGATTCTGGCTTTGGCTGCCTGGAAGAAGCCAGATAATGAAGCCATTAAAAACTAAATGGAGCCATAGCTTTGTTCCCTGTTTATTTCAGGCGGACAAAGCCAAACCCCCATGTTTCAATTTCAAGCTAGGCTTTGTTAACTAAGCTCTGTGTACCCACTCACAAACCAGGAACACATGCAAATATGCCACTTACTGAACTAGCCATATTGAACTAGTGAAAGGAGAGGAATGTCAAATCACTTTACATTTGCAACCTATGAAATAAACTTCAGAAATGTACAGTTTCCATTTTTGACATATTTGATAGGTAGATAAAATCAGGTTCACACCTGAGGTTTCAATTTCACTGATTTTTTTGCTAAAAGCCTATGCATAGGAATAGTCTCAACTAATGGTCAGCTCCTGATTATAGTTAGATTAGGGTCAATAGTGCACAAGGGTGGGTTAGATTTAGTTTGTTTGTGGCTATGTAAGGATTCTAGTCTGATTCCTTTTTTTACTCCTCCCCCTGACTCTGCCACTCTTCTCCTACAATGTTACAGAGCAATTGCAGGTGTTGCTGATAAACAAGATACTCTTGAATGTTCTTTGCAAATGCAATAATCAAACAATCCCAGAAGAAAATATCAAAATCTAGAGTTGAAAGAATGGAATTTAGTTTCTCTCATGAAGATACTGGAAATTAGCATTTGATTTAAAAAAGATTTTGACATTTCTTTTCAACATTGCTCTGCCCCTGGCATCTCCTGGTAAAGAGCTTTGAAGATCATTGCTGGATTAAAAAAAAACAAACCAATGGATAAACTTCTGAGTGCAAGCCAATCCAGAAGTGACTTGAATACTCTAGATCAATGTTTTTCAAACTTGTCAATTTTAAAATGCATGGATTTCAATTCCTAGAATTCTTCAGCAGCATGCTAGAGGGGCTAACATTCTAACATGGTACAGTAGCTGAATATATCTATGCATATTCTTGTACCTCTATTCCCCACACCCAAGCCCTCCATTCCTTTCTTCAGGTTTGATTAAAAAAAATAGTGACTTACCGGGGGAAGAAGTTTCTGAAAGCTGGAAAAGCAAAGCTGGGGTTGGTCTCCGACGACGGATCTAAAAGAGAAATCAAATAGAAGTTTTATTTTGCTTCTCACAAGAGGTGGGAGAAATGTGGCGGCTACAGTTCTGCCTTCCTATCCCTATTGTTTTTCCAGAAGAAATGAATAGCAGATGTCTTGTAGATTTTTTGAAATCTGTGATTGGTAGCACATTTCAGTACTGAAATCAACTGCCCAGCATTGTTCCAAGATCTTTCAGCCTGTGGGGCACAATTAAAATGTTTTCAGGGTGCCTTTCCATTCCACTGGGAATATCAGCCATCACAAGAAAAGGAATCTGTGGCTCCCATTGCCAAAATTCCATGGCTATAACTGTGCCATATTCATGCCTTGAACACACAATCATAGCCTGCAGCATTGGGGGAAGTATCCAGTAGCTGCATAGTTGGATTAAGGGTAGCCCTTTTATGCCAGAAGATCTAACTTGCTGATCTCATTTGCTGTCTAGAGAAGAGAAAAATATAGAGCGTGGGAATTCGAAAAAGATTTCTAGCTCCACTGTTACAATTCTTTCTATTCCACTTATGAAAAGATATGGAGGGATACAGAGGATGGTGGGACAACCTATGGACTTTAACTACATTACTCCATAGACTGACTTCTCCAAACTAAAGTTCTCCAGATTTGTAAATTGCAATTCCATTCACTCACACTTTTGATATCTAGGAGTAAGAGAAATCTTTAACCCAGTATCCCTTGAGGGCTGCAAAGACAGGAAATCTATAGTATCAACAATGACAGTAAAACTAATGTACTATATGTCTTAGGACTGATATGAGAGCTGAGGGTCCTTCTCACATACAGTTCATGAGCCAATTTATTCAGCCAACAGATTCAAATGGAAAGTAAAGTGCCTTATACAAGGCAGGCCACTGACTAATCAGGCCTGGATAGACAATTGAAAGTTGTTTTTGTGTTCTTGATGCCTCCCTTTTCTCCTGAATCAGAGAGAATACTAGAGAGATGTAATGCTGAAACAAAATCCCAGTATAGTTCAGTGCTTTATTTGTAAATATGCCTGTTTATCCAAACGAAAAGTAAACTATGGATGGTAGGATGTATCCTGGAAGGCTGGAATAGGGAGCAAAGAATTGTCTTCTATAAATGATTATTGTGGGCTATTCCTCCCAATGCAAATAGGCCGTGTATAGACAAAAGACTTTCGTGGAGCCATTTTATACTTGCCTGGCCTTATTTTATCTCAATAAAATCTGTGTTCAGGTGGATGTTAAATATCAAAGATAGCCATCAAATTCTTTCAGTGGAAAGCGTTGGAGATCAAATTTGGGGAATTTCACACTGATGCCATATTTTGGTGGCTAGGACTCTGATGAGGGAATGAGTGACCTGTGTCCTTGTATGCATTCATGAGGCAACTATTGAGTTTATCCTGCCAGAATACCTACCTTGCAGGCCAGTACTCCAGACCAGTCTACCTGCTCTTGCTCTTCTCACGTTTATCTTGAACAAGTAGCTATAATCTGCTATCTGAAAATGTGGGAGGGGGGCATAAAGTCTTTCTTGCCCAGAAAGCAATTTAAGATGAAACTTGATTAGGAGGCATCAAAGAGAGGGTGGGGGAGAGGACTTCAGTTGTTCTGGCCTCAAGCTCATTTAAATTAGATGTCCCCAACCATTTGGGCACCAGGTACCAGTTTCGTGGAGAGAGATTTTTTCGCGGACTGGAGGGGGTGTGGTTTTGCGTGCTGCCTGCATCCTGCAGATGGGGCTTCGCTTGTTTGCACGGACCGGTTTCTGGCATGCCATAGACCACTGCCGGTCCATGGACCAGGGGTTGGGGACCCCTGATTTAAATGACAGAATCTGTTTTGAAAACACTGGTACCTAATATTTCCCTACAACTGACTCATGTTCAAACAGCAAATATTTCAGCTACTATGTGTATTGTTTTTATTATGTGTTTTTAAATTGCAGCATATTTTTGAATTGTAAGCTGCCCAGAATCACTGACTGAGATAGATGGATATAGAAATTAAATAAATAAATAAATAAATTCATTTAAACAAATCAGATACAGTCCTAGTGCTGGAATTTATACAATCTGCTAAATTTTTTTTTTTTAACCTTGTGTATTTATAAGGTGACGAACTTATTTATAATAAAAAGGAGAACACAAATAAATTGAAGAAAAAATATTGTAAATAAAAGAAACATTTTATTCATTGCAACAATAATGCAGAATATACTTTAATATGATAAATACATAATAAAAACATTTGTAACAATAACATTTTATATTGTAATTATGCTTACATGCTGCGCCCCCGCCCACAGCTGCCCCGCCAGCAGTGCTGCCCCGCTGTGTAGAATGGGCCCCACGGCTCCCAAAGCACCAGCTGTGCGAGCTCCGGCCCCAGGGGCAGCCCGCCATCGACACACCCTGCCTGCAGCCGCTCCACCAGCACCACCGCCCACCCTGCACAGCCCTGTATAGAGCAGGCTCCGCGGCTCCCACAGTACTGGGGGCAGCCAGCCACTGCCGCCCCTCACACCCCCACCCGCAGCAGCCCTGCTGCCCCTGCTTCTTGCGCCCGCAGCCATTATTGCCCTAGCAGGGCTGAAGATCAAGAGAAAGTTACCATGGCATCACCGCTCCAGTCTCCTCCAGGTATCTTTGGGACTAACTAGGAGTTAGTCTCAGAACCACTGAACTATATTTTTCAAAGATCCTGGAGCACAGGGGAACTACCAGAGGACTGGAAAAGACCTGATGTAGTTCCCATCTACAAAAAAGGTGAAAAATGGACCTAGGAAATTACAGACCTAACAGCCTGACCTCAATACCTGGGAAGATCCTGGAAAAGATAATCAAACAACGAATCAGCGAACACCTAGAGGCAAACAAAATCATTACTAAAGGCAATATGGGTTTGTCAAAAATAGATCATGCCAGACAAATCTTATTGCATTCTTTGACCAAGTGACAAAATTAGTGGATCAGAGGAATGCTGTGGACATAATTTACTTGGACTTCAGTAAGTCATTTGATAAAGTAGATTACAACCTACTACTTGACAAGATAGAAAAATGTGGGGTAGACAGCACCACCACCAGATGGATCCATAGGTGGCTGACTGGCCGTACTCAGCATGTGGTCCTCAATGGAACCACATCTACATGGAGGGAAGTGTATAGTGAGGTGCCCCAGGGCTTTATTCTGGGCCCAGTGCTCTTCAACATCTTTATCAACGGTTTGGACGAGGGGATAGATGGGGAACTCATCAAATTTGCAGACGACACCAAGCTGGCAGGAATAGCCAACACTCCAGAAGACAGGCTTAAGATACAGAAGGATCTGGACAGACTTGAACATTGGGCACTATGTAACAAAATGAAATTCAATGTGAAAAAAGTAAGGTTCTACATTTAGGCAAGAAAAACTAAATGCACAGATATAGTATAGGGGGTACCTTGCTCAATAGTAGTAACTGTGAAAGGGACCTCGGAGTCCTAGTGGACAATCACTTAAATATGAGCCAGCAGTGTGCTGCAGCTGCCAGAAAGGCCAAAACAGTGCTAGGCTGCATTAACAGAGGGATAGAATCAAGGTCATGTGAAGTGTTAATACCACTTTACAATGCCTTGGTAAGGCCACACCTGGAATATGCATCCAGTTTTGGTCACCGCGATGTAAAAAAGATGTTGAGACTCTAGAAAGAGTACAGAGAAGAGCAACAAATATGATTAGGGGACTAGAGGCTAAAGCATATAAGGCTGCTGGAATTGTGTAGGTCTAGTTTAATGAAGAGAAGGACGAGGGGGGACATGATAGCAGTGTTCCAATATCTCAGGGGCTGCCACAAAGAAGAGGGTGTCAAGCTATTTTCCAAGGCGCCTGAAGGCAGGACAAGAAGCAATGGGTGGAAACTAAGCAAGGAGAGAAGCAACCTAGAACTAAGGGGAAACTTCCTGACAGTTAGAACAATTAACCAGTGGAACAACCTGCCTCCAGAAGTGGTGAATGCTCCAACACTGGAGGTTTTTAAGAAGAGACTGGACAGCCATTTGTCCAAAATGGTATAGGGTTTCCTGCCTGAGCAGGGGGTTGGACTAGATGACCTCTAAGGTCCCTTCCAACTTTACTATTATTATTATGGTGTAGTTGGGTAGCAGGGAAGGATGCAAAGTTTCTGCCAATTCGCCTTCGCGGCAGACAACTTACATGTGCAAAGTTTGCTGGCTGGTTGTTTTGGCACGCTCAGCAGCATTTCCTATTGGCTTTTGAAAGCCAATAAGGGGAGTAGCACACCTCATGCAAAAGTTGGAAAAAAAAACCATAAAAAAGGTGCCAGAACACCGTTCCGAGCATTCTATGAGAAAAAAAAGCCCTGCAGATTAGTCTTCAAATATCGAAAAGGAGGACATGTAGGAGGACACTTTTCGAGGGAGGACAGAACTTAAAAAAGGAGGACTGTCCTCCCTAAAGGAGGATGGTTGGTCACCTTAGTATTTAGAGTTTGGGTTTTTATTGTGCAGCTTACTATGTTCTAGAAAACCATCCTGCTTGGTGAGTTTATGCTTCAGTGACCTGGAAATAAGCTAATTTAGTAACTAAGTTCAGCATATTGACATGAACACAACTACCAGGCCGTTTTGAGCAGAGCACTGAGGCTCATTTCCCCTAGATGTTTAATCTGTTTTAGGCTATCTTCTGACTCTTTACCTTAAACAGCATATGCACCAAAGCTAGAGAGAGAGAAAAGATTAAACTGTCAGGCCTTCAAATATTAAAAAATAAAGCATTTTAACATTGTGTGATCTTTTTGTCCTATTCTTAACAAATTTGCCATCCTTGCTCCTATGTTCTTCTATGTGTGCATTTATTAATCAGGGATAATATATGCTCAGTCTTTATTGATTGGGTGCAGATATATTATCATACCTGCATTTTTTTTTCACTGTTAGCGTCTTCGACCAGCTTACTCTTCTTTCTCTCTGCGGAGTTATATATCACATTCTGTCACAAAGTGGTTGGGGTGGGTGGGCTAGCTTTGTAACCATGGTTTATACTTTACCACAATGTTTGAATCCAGTATTAACAGGGTAAAGTTAAGCTAGTGTGATGTTGAACTACATTAGATCAGTGAGTGTATGTGTATTCAGTTTATTTAGATAACATAAGAACTGATATCGCTTGCATGATAGCCAATAATAAAGCATGAATTCACCATTTCTCTAAAAACATATCTTAGATTCTATTGTTCTTTTAATATGCAAATTCTACTATTTTATTTTTATACACACCCAAAATGAGACAAATTATTTAGATTTTGCAGAAGGATAACTTTGGTTGCAGATCCATGACCAAATTAAGAAATCACCTGTTTGTTATGGGGAGGCCAGGGCCCAAAGAGCCTGAAAGCTGAATCCTTGGCCCCTGATTGCAATATATCTTCCTTAACATTCATATTTCTGATATCGCAATTTCACCAGAAATCAAATTTCTGATATAATGACTTCTTCAATGATGTCTGGGGTGTGATGGGAATGTAATCTAATACAGTTAGAGATCATCAGGTTGAGAAGTTAGGAATGATGCATTTGTTACAAAAGAGGAGAGCCAAATTTGTCAAGGCATTTTTCACCACTTGGTGTGAAAATCTATTCAGGAATCATAGAGATCACATTAGCAAGTGTGAAAAGCTAAGAGTCTGCATAAGATGTGAGAATTTGCACATAAGAGACTTTTAGGTGTGTAAAAAAGTTTGAGCAGGTATAGACTTTAGATGGTTGGCTGTACATAATTACTGTAAATTTGGTTCTGCACATCTATAAGAAAAGATCTTACAGTTTATGAATTATATGTACTATTGCAAAATAAAGGAGTACTGTACTGTATTTCTCCCTACCCCCCATTCTCTGGGTTCATGGAAGTTTTTTGACATGCATTCACAGATTTGTGTTTTGGTGTCTTTATTTATTCCAGTGCTATACAATACAAAGACCCATATGGTGTAAAGAAATGTAATAAGTATAAGCAATGAATTATTTATTTACCTGGCTGCATTTACAATCTTATTTTTCCCCCTGGGAAAAAAAATTCCCAAAGTGACTTAATAAAAGTTAAAAAATATAATAAAATCAATCAAAAAGTAAACAAGAACATTTGCAGAGTATGATATAAAAGAAAAATAAGCACAAACAGGCATTATTTATAGGATTTATATAATCACTTTATATAAACCCTACCTGTTTGAGAACTTCAGTAAGGAAAGATAATAAATAAATCATACAGGGATGATTTGGAAGTAAGTTTAAAGCAGTTTCTGGAGGTCTCGTTTTTCTCTGTGGGTTAAGTGCTTTGGAAATCCAGAGTTTGTAACTCTAACTGAAATCCCAATGATTTTAGTCTGGTTCTAACCATTGCTAAATCACCTATGTGCCCTTCTCTGTCTGTCTGTCTGTCTGTCTGTCTCTCTCTCTCTCTGTGTATGTGTGTGCGTGCGTGCGTGCGTGCGTGCAAGTTTGTATTTAAACAGCAATCAGTGCACTGGATGTACTTCTATGCCTAATAAACAGAAGGACTTCAGAGAAGAGGAGAGGAGAAGAAAGGAAAAGGAAACGGGATTGACCATTGTTACTTTCCCAACTTCTTTCCACGCCTCGAATCCCTCCCTAGGCTGCCCCCCCCCATTGCTCCTTCCTTACCATTTCCACTGCACGGGGATCCAGCTGGCTGGGCGGCGCAGGTACCGAAAACTGGATTTTCTTCCGCTCCTTGGGGTCCATCACGAAGTCCTGGAGTCAGACAGCCTCCTACTTCTGACAAGAAAAACTCTCCCTCTGGATTCCCTCCCTTTGCCTTTGCCTCTTTTCAGTCCCCCGGGATCCCCTTAGCAGCAGGCGCTGCCCGGTGCTAACTTCCCGTGCTGCAAAAGCAACTGAAGGTGGCAGAGCTCAACTCTCCTTCATAGCTGCGTGCGTTAGGGGAGGCTGGAGGAAGCGATGGGAGGGCAGGCGAAGAGGAGGCGGCAGGAGTGGGGGAGAGGAGGGGAGGGGAGGGGAGGGAAGCTTGGTCTCTTGCCAACTGCCGCCTGAATTATTGAGTCCTCCAGAGGAGGCAGGTAGGCATCAGGATTCTGGCTCCCAAGAAGCCCTCAGCTGGACGCCTATTAAAATGCCGCCACTCAAAAGAGATCAGTAGCTGCCCGTCTTAGCCCGTTCCGAAGAGCAGCAGAGTGCCGCAGGAGGGAAAAGTTAATCAAGAAACAGTAGCTTTCTTGACAACTCTTCATCAATCCCTGTATCTTTCTTTCCCTGTCCTGCCTTTCCAGTCCAGTGCCAATCCTCTCTTCTTTAGGTTTTAGTTCCAGGAGATTAATAATTGTATTGCAAGACATTTGAAATTATAAAACAACCAAGAATTGTAGAGCTGGAACTGACCAGATGAATTGCCTACTCCAATGCATTCCAGTCTTGACAGGTTTAAGATAGTGAACTTCAGTTCCCAGAATTCCCCAGCCAGCATGCTAGCTGGAGAATTTTGGGAGTTGAAATCCATACATCTTACAGCTGCTAAGACTCGGGCACTATGGACTAGTTCAACTCTCTGTAAAGTGTAGAAAACCAGTTAAGCTATTTTGAGAGGTGGCTGTCCATATATAATTCTCCAGGGATGGACAGCCAACAATCTCCATTGATAGAGTACTCTACTGTTGGACTGATTTTATAATCAGGGAGGTTTTCTCTACATTTAAATAAAATCTAGATAGCTGCAATTTGAACTGCTTATTTCTGATGCTGGTTTGTGGGAATCGTGGCTTCTGAAGAAGAGCAAAAACTTGTAGCAGAAATCCTCCACTTGATTACCAGTCAGTCCTTGATGTTCTGGACTATGGCTTCTGAGAGTCCACACACAAACCTCTGCATTCACATATTCTGAATCATTTAGGAGTGAGAGTAAAGTACAATCAGTGATGTCAAAAGAAAACAGCAGTGGCTTTTTGCAGAACAGCCACTGCTGTTTGAGTGACAATGCAATTTGCATTTATGAACTAAAACATGAATAATTATACAAACAATTATCTTCATGAAGATAAACCTCTTCATGAAGTGAAGATCATCTCTTTCAAAGAATAACTTTTTTAAGATTCTTTGTTTAAGTTCCAAAAGAGGATCAAGATCTCACTTTACCGAAGAATTATAGGCCCATATCTCTTTTAAATGTAGATTATAAGATTTTTGCAAAAATTTTAGCTAATAGGCTTATGAGGGTTTTGCATCAGCTTATACATAAGGACCAATTGGGTTTTATAACTGGTAGGTATATGAAGAATAATGTTAGACAAATTATTAATTTATTAGAATATTTAGATAAGAATAACCAAATTTCCGCAGGGCTGATATTTTTAGATGCTGAAAAAGCTTTTGATCAATTGAATTGGCAGTTTATGTTAAGATTAATTGAGGAAATGAATTTTGGAGAAAAAATATCACAAGCTTTTGGTGCTATATATCAAAAACAAACGGCACAACTTATTGTTAATGGAGGTTTGTCAGAGGTTTTTACAATAGAAAAAGGTACAAGACAGGGATGTCCATTGTCACCGTTACTGTTTGTTTTAACTCTGGAAATTTTGCTGATCAAAATTCGAGAGTCGTAGGAAATAAAAGGAATAGAAGTTAACAAAAAAGAATATAAATTAAGAGCTTTTGCAGATGACTTGGTGGTTACTTTGTCTCAACCTACCTATTCTGTAGTAAATTTATTACAACTGATTTACCAATATGGACGGGTTTCGGGTTTTAAAATTAATAATAATAAGACTAAAATATTATCTAAAAACATGACTAATTTGGATAAGCAGATTTTGGTTAATCTGACAGACTTTGAAGTTGTTGATAAGATAAAATATCTGGGGGTTACCCTATCTGTTTCTAATGTAAAATTGTATAAAAACAATTATGAAAGGCTGTGGGTCAGGGTACAAAAAGATTTGAAAAATTGGGAGAAGTTACAGTTATCTCTTATGGGAAGAATTGCAGTGATTAAAATGAATGTCCTGCCAAAATTTCTCTTTTTATTTCAAATGTTACCTATTTTAAAGAATGAGGTTAATTTAAATGAATGGCAGAAAGGTATCAACAAATTTATTTGGGCAGGGAAAAAACCAAGGGTAAAGCTTAAAATTATGCAAGACTTTCGTGAGAGAGGTGGACTCAAGGTACCGAATCTGAAATTATATTATGATGCTGTGGTTTTAACACTAATTAGTGATTGGGTTGATTTAACAAATGTAGAAATACGCCATTTGGAGGGTTGGAATTTACTTTTTGGATGGCATGCCTATCTAATTTTTAATAAAAAAGTGGATCGGGTTTTTAAATCTCATATTATAAGTTTCTTTACTTCGGGTTTGGAGGAAATATTATAAAAGTGAGTTTAAAATGCCATTATGGGCTATACCTTGGCATGCGATAGAGGGGATAAGAAGAGGAGTTAAGATGGATAGTGTTTCTTATGCGCAATTACTCAGGTGGGATGGTAAAAATTGGCAGTTAAAATCTTTGGAAGATTTAGCACATGAAAATATTATATATTCATGGTTTCAGTATAGACAAATAGCTGATAGATGGAAGATAGATCGTAATGTGGGTCTTCTCAGAGAAGATGAAAATCTTTTTAAACAAGTAAAAGATCAAAGGCGAACTCACATTAAGAGAATTTATGGGGTGCTAGTAGAACTGGACTCAGAATCAGAATTAATTAAAGAATGTATGATTAAATGGGCACAAAATTTTGGTGAACCAGTTCTACTAGATACCTGGGAAACCATCTGGGTGAGGAATGTTAAATTTACACAAGCTCAGAACTTAAGGGAGAATTTTTACAAAATGTTTTACAGATGGCACCTTGATCCACAAAAAATGTCTCGTATGTATCCTGACTTACAGCCTAAATGTTGGAGATGTGGTTGTTTGGATGCTACTTATTATCATATTTGGTGGTCGTGTAAAAATATAAAAGTCTTTTGGATTAAGATATGGTGGAATATTCAAAGAATTTTTAGAAAGAGGGTAAAATTTACCCCACAATTGTTTTTGTTAGGTATTGTTACTGATTGTGATGCTAAGGAAGTTATATTGATGTTAAATTTGATTACGGCCGCTAGGCTGTTAGTAGGGCAATATTGGAAGAAGGAATCTTTGCCTACCTTGCAAGAGTGGTTTTTTAAAGTTTCTTATTTGGCGGAAATGGCAAAGATTTCGGCTTTCTTAAAGGAGCAATCGCAAGAAAAATTCTTTGTGGTATGGGAAAAATGGATAAATTTTATACAATATAAATTGGATATAAAAAAATATCATTTAGCTTTCTAATAACTTGTATATAAATTTTAATATTTTATAGATTGTACTTTTTATATCTCTTTTCTTCTTTCTCTTTTTTTTCTTTTTTATTATCTCTTTTTCTTTCAAGTACTTTTTCCTTTTAATACGTATGCTTTTTTTACATATATTTTATTGTTAATTACTTTATAAATTGTTTATGTAAGGTATTTAGATATATTTATGATTTATATTTTTTCAATTTTTTAAAGATTCTTAAAAATTTTAATTAAGCCTATATTCAGCTCTGGGAAGATCGGGGGTGATGGAGAGGGAGGGTTGGGGTGGGTGGGTGAGGGTTGTTTTTTTTTGGTTTTTTTGCTTTTTGTAAAAATATCTAAAAATTTTCAATAAAAAAAAGACTCTTTGTTTAAGAATAACTTTTTTAAGATTCTTTGTTTAAGAATGGCCATCTTAAGACTAGTGGCTAATAGCTGTGGAAAGGAGATGTGTTTTTCCCTTGGAAAAAGTGCTTTTCAATGTTGCTATTGCTAATATTTGGTTTGGTCGTCTACAGCAAATTTAGCTTGCTTTTCCTCAAAAGGAACCAAACAAATTAGTTTCTGAACCCTGAGATCTCTGAATATTTGTGGGATATCCTCTGCTAAGTTCCCTAAAGAGTTTTTGGTTCAATAACTTTTGAACAGATTTGATAACAGATTTAAACTTTTTGAAACTTAAGGACTAGGCTGTGCAGGAGCAAGATATCTCTGGCAGCATTTTGAATGTTGGCCAATACAAGCAATTTCATAACCAGCAGAGGTATATGTGCTACAGTTTGTGTAGTCAAGTATATCACCCTGTTGAGTTATAGTTTGTCAGGATGTGTTCACAGAGTAAATATCTTAATTTCTTTCTTGGGACACACTTGTGATGAAAACCTAGTGGAGCTTTCCGTGTTATACTAGCAGTTCTCATATTGTTAAATCTGAACTGCAGAGAAAATTCGGCAAGGTACTTGTTGGATGAATGACTCTAATTTGCAAGAGAGAAATACACACAAAATGATTTGGTGTCATTCCTGATTCCAATCCCATATTTTATTCCTTGTCTGATATGATTTCAGTGTTCTCTGAGCAGCTTACAAATTCCCCAATATGGTAACTGAATTAAAACAGAATAATATATAGATGTTTGTCTGATACGGCAAAACATATAGTTCCTAAAAAAGTAAACAGCACAAGGAAAATTCGGGAGAATTTTCTTTCATTACATCTGCGTTTGGTCTGAGTTTTCAAAAATTAATTCTGGATAGGCAGAGTTCAATATGAGTTTTGCATTAACTATCGGAATCCAAAAGACAGAGAGAAAAACTATGTGACAATAGTATTCATGGCCATTGATATTGGTGCATAATATTACCTCCTATAATTTTCTCAGCTTGCTCTGTTTATTTGAAGATAAATAAAGCCCACCTTGACCAAGCAAGGAACACAGCGGAACTCACTATTCCATTCAAAATAAGAACCAACATTCATTTTCCCCATTGGAGACAAATAGGCTGATTAGCAGCATGGCATTATACTGTGCTGACACAAGAACCCACAATATCCTGGTCTGATCACATATGAAGGTTATCTGAGTTAAATGCTGTCATACTTATTGAAACAAATAGAAACTTAA